TATTGACAAAGCTGTTTGTTTTAAACGGTTAAAAAGAGAGTGGTATTGCTGAGTATTCACACTCATAGCCTTCGGATAAAGCTCCATTAAAAAAAAACAACGCCCGAAGAACGAGAAGTTTTCAAATCCTGACAATCAAGATGCAATGTATAAGAAGAGTTATGCAGAAATCGTACCTTCCTTCACATCATCAATTGGAGTTTGCGAGCGGCTATGACTTCACGCGTTGAATTAATGGGATCTGAAATGACTTCAGCTTGGTTAACGAACAAGCAACCAGTTAGTTAGGAACCAGTTAGCCCATACTGGCTATTTTGTAAAGTAAAACATATCGGACCATTCCTTGCGTGGCAAATGTGAAACTGCGATATATCATGAGTTCATTTCACGCCATTTTTTGTTTAGTTTATCTGGACGTCATTCAAAGCTGGAAGTTGCGAAGAAACGATTGAGAAGAAGGAGCTTTGGGATGGGTGAAGATTTACTTCTGTGCAAAAAATGGGTCTTCTCAGAAGCGGTTCACTCAGAGTACGCTCATACTTCACGAACCAATGGCACTGTCCAGTAGCTCGAGCGGTCGATCTAGCGCTCTCTCTGGCGTCTCACTGTCTGCAAGATCTAGCAAAAAAGCCAACTACGTTCACAGGGTTATACTGAATTGCAAAACAGTTTTCTTGTACTAGCCTCTCGAAAGAACCCGAAGACAACGCAATCAACTTGAGAAACAGTTTGCACTCACCTGCTACCCTTTTCGGAAGGTTTTGAATACGGGAACTGACTTTCTTAGCATCATTCTGGCTGAAACAGCATACTAGACAACCCATTGGTAAGCACATGTGGGGTCCATATCGGAGGGCAAAAAGAGGCGTTCCCAAGTACTATTCGAGAGGGTAAGCAACGGCTAGAATGGCGACGTGGAAACGTCCCCATTTGCCTTCAGAGGTGGACAATGTGTAAGATGAATCCAGGTAAAAAAGGTACAGTACATAGCCGAGAACAATGCAGTTCGCCTCTCGAAATTTCTCACCAGTGTATCCAAAGGAATCTAAAAATGACATTCTTCAAATGATAGCATTATTTGGAAGTACGAAAATCTCAAAATAACCTCCACGTCTTGCAGAACTCCGTCAAACTCGTCCGCTGTTATACTACTCGGCATGACTGACGATGGCATCTCTTGTAAAGAAAAGGAAAATGAATTCATTCTGAAAAACAATGTTTTATCGGCTTGACGCGTTAAAACAAGGGTAAATCCGGTACTGTTCAACTACTAGTACTCCAACAAACCGAGGAAAAAATTCTGCTGAAAGTTGGCCTATGGTGGTTGAGTTGCACATCGCGGATAGATCAGCAGAACTCAGAAACTATTTCTTGTCACGAGCTCAATTTTTTTGTACACCACGTTTTTTGTTTTGTTTTTTTACATTGTCAGATGGTGAAGAAACAACTACTGAGCACAGTGGATATCGCTGCTCGCACAAAACGAGCAGGCTCGGAGAGCTGTCCAAGGTGTCTGCCATGCCCATATTTGAGGTGTTCTCCAGAAGAATTTCGGCTAGGGCACTTCGCACTTTCGTTACTTCCCATCGATGTGTCAACCAAAAGAGCCATTCCGTGAGCTTACAAGGGTTGAGAGTTCATAGGTGGCTAGACGTGCTTGCTCCATATTCGCAAGATTCCCTAGGTTTTACCAGTGTGTAGACTTTTGAACTGTAGTTTTAGCGAAGAAACGAAAGTGTAAAATGCTCTCCTGGCCGAACTGTACCCGATCTCCCCCGTCATAACTTTAGCTTTTTTTCTGCCCCGAATGCAACTACTATGGTCGAACACTGAACGCCACTTTCGTCACAGTAGCAAACGCGAGTCAGTTCTTGATAGGAACAATCATACAGATATGGGGGAAATCGTCCTTAACGTGCCGATCTCACCTTCCTGTCAATGTGATTTGTTATGAGATGAAATATCGTAACGAATAATAAGTTATGGTCAAACGGTATCCTCTCAAAACCTATAAAAGCATTTTTTCAGGTGCCAGAACAAAACTTTTCTTGAGAACGTCAAACATTGGCCATAAGCAAATTAAAACAGGTGAAGCGGTCCGAAGAAGCTAGGGCTATCCAGATGAGTTGTCGCTGATTCTTTCTGCTCTCAATCATAAGTATTTGCCGTTTTTGAAATGATGTTGAGTTTCAATAGCAAGATACAGCACACTTCACTTATTTTCGAAAAGATTTTGAAAAAATTGACCGTGTAGAACAACTGAAATTTTGAACTTCCCGCTGAACAGACGGTTGGGTCCAGAGCGGAACTGGCCACTGTAGGAGGCGTTGACGTCATCATCCTCTGTTCCCCGGCTTGGCGTGTTATTGTGAAGGAGGCGCGTGATCGACGCGTTATCTTACGATTTTGAGGCCGACATGTTGCCTTCATTCTTTTTATAGAGTTTTGCAAACATGTGACTTCGTAGTAATGGAAAGGTATTTTGACGTCACGACGTAGTACTTGTGGTTTCAGATGTCGTTTTTGAGTGAATCCGGAAGATGCGTCGAATCCTACTATAACTACGCTCAAAATTCTAATCATCGGTGAAAGTGGAGTTGGAAAGTCAAGGTAAGGTTTTGGACATATTGCACACTTACAAAGGCATTTTAATAGACACATTTCCTTTGCAAGCTCCGCCTCTATCATAAGTATCTGATTTATGAGAGTTCGTGTGTTCAAGCTTGCGATAGTGACAAAATGGCGGATTGGAGTAGTGAATAGTTGACGAAAAGCACAAGTAACGTATCGGCTTGTAGAAATACAGTATAACGAATGGCGGAAAATCGATGCGAAGTTATCCTTTTGTAAATTTTGCATTTCTACAAGTCTTCATTCCTGCGACTCTTCATTTCTGCATTTCTTCAAATCGATGCATATCTCATGATTTTCGTCAGTTCTTCATTTCTGCATTTCTTTTCGTCATCATATCGCAAGCTATAAACGTGGCCTTATCATTGTTGCCTTTTAGAATCGCGTGAAAATGTACCGTGCGCACTGGCAACTTTTGATGTCCGAATAAGTGGTTACCCTCACAGTGGTGCAAAACAATTGTCCATTCCGTGTTGGCAACTAGTTGTGTGTTCCGGTTCATCACGAGCAGAATGGGCAACTGTAGAGGGAGGCCATGCTAGGGATCCCAGGACATTTTAGTGCTGCCGGATTTTGTCAGCCATTGTCTTTCTTCTGGCATACTTTGCTCAAAGAATCAGTAGCAAACTTGTTTTCTTGCTGTTCGGAAGTGAACGCTAAGCACTGGCAACCGTCAACAGTCGAACGCAGTTGTAATCGTGATCATAGTCTCTGATAAGAACTCGAAAGTGCTAAGGTCGCCTATGCTTCCCTGCTGATATTCCTACGACGTTGTAGAATAGGAGTATTGACGAAAAAGAAAGGTGATTTTGTTGAAAACACCCGAATTGGAGGATGGAAAATCTGGAATAAAAATCAGATGTGGACTGATTTGGTCGAGTTCGCTCAGCTCTTGTGGAGTTTCACCAGAAAATGCAATTGCTATTGGAATTGCGAGACTTGCCATCGCTAGCGAAAAATAGTGACTGCGAAAGACACGAGAATGGCTGTTTTTTTTTGCGAGTTTGGCAATGATACTCTGGTCTTTAATGGAAATAATTGATTCACA